CCCCGTTAAAAGTATTGAACCTGAAGCAATTTCAGCATTTTTCTGGATTAAGTATTTTTTTTTTTCTAATTTATTTATACTGCAGTAGTCTCTCATTCACGGGGGATACATTCCAAGATTCCCAGCAGATGTCTGAAACTACGGATAGTACTGAACCCTATATAGAACCTGTTTATCCTGTGCATACGTACCTTTCACTTAAAGGGAGGGCTTTACCACTTCTCTTTGGCATGTCCAAACTGTCAGCATCACTACTTTTGCACTTTGGGACCATTATTAAATAAAATAGGGGTTACCTGAACACCAGGGCGGAGATACCTTGATAGTCAACCTGATAATGGAAAGGGCTAAGTGACTAAGGAGTGGAGAGCAAACACAGCAAGGGTAAGCCGGACAGAGGGGTGACTGGGCAGGACAGAGCGGCGCGGTGAGAAATCATCATGCTACTCAACAGCATCACCTTAAAACTTACCCGTTTCTTTATTTCTGGAATTCTCCATTTAATATTTTTGGAGACAGTTGACTGTAGGTAACCACGGAAAGCAAAATCTCAGATAAGGGGAGGATTACTGTAAAAAACAACAAGGATTCCTTACTGTTTCTATTTATATTAATACTTTTAGGAACAATTAGATCACTTAAGGAATTTGCCTCTGGCTGTTCCAGTAAGAACTGGAATTATAGAGAAGAAAGCTGGGATAACTGAGCAAAAGCTTTGGCTTTTTAAGTAGACTTTCCGGCTTGTTTTGAATTATGTAAGGAAATAAAAATATCCCACAGTAGTATTTATTTTTAATTATTGTTTCTTCATTTTCTTTCAGGACTCTCGATGTTTCAGTGAGCTTTAATGGAGGAAAATCTGTCATCTCGAGCTCATTAATAGTCACAGCCACAGAATGTGTAAGTAAAAAGTTTGCATAAAGTTACCATTTAAAAATAATTCTGTCTGGAAATAATTTATGGATCCTCAGTGTTGTTGCATCTGCAGTAAAGAAGGCAAACAATAAAATGAGATTGTTACATTACAAGGAAAATTTCTACAGAATTTATTTTAGGGTTTTGTTTTGTTTCCCATAGCTGCCTTTAAAGGAGATTTTCAGATCGTGTACATTTTATTTTGATATTTATAAAATTCAGGTCATTTATTTATTTAAAAATATGTCTTTATTGATTTCGGAGAGAGAGGAAAGGAGAGGGAGAGAGAGAGACAGAAACATCAATGATGAGAGAGTCATTGACCGGCTGCCTCCTGCACGCCCCCACTGGGGATCGAGCCCGCAACCCAGGCATGTGCCCTGATTGGGAATCGAACCGTGATCTCCTGGATCCTAGGTCGATGCTCAACCGTTGAGCCACACTGGCTGGGCAAATTCAGGTCATATTTAAAATCAAAATAAGTAGGAGAATGATTTCCGAATGAAGCATTTTTTCTTCTTAAAACATTGAACATATAAATGGAATAATGTGTTTTTTTGTTATGAAGGTTGCATTATTGTATCTAAGACATTTATCCTGTTTTTGAAATTATTAGTGCATCTTAATTAGTGAGCTTATTTTATTCATTTTCGTCCTGGTGCCTTCTCATATGAGTAAGGAATTGGATTTTGATAGCTCAATAATATCTTAGTTTGATACTGTACTTTAGTTGAGGTGGTTGATTTACATTACCTAAGATGCAATATTTTGAAATGTAAATTCCATGATTAGACTGTTTTTCCTGTAGTTAATTTTTGGGTTTATGGAAAGTTTTGATATTAGATTGTTGAACATGAAAACAGAACACTGTAATGGACTGGTCACATGGCTATTATTTTTATGAGTATATTTTCTTTTTTTTTAAAAAAAAGTAAAGTAAAAAACATTCCTGCCCTTCAAAGAACCAATATCCCAAACCTAAACACTTTCTCACATCTCATGGTTTCATAGTTTTATATTTTGATCTTTTAATTTGAGAGACATCCTTCCTACAGAAAACAAACAAAACAACTCAGTATTATCTGTAAAGAGATAATTGTGTTTCCCATTGTAAGAAAACACTGCAGGGAAAACAACCC